CGTACCACGAACCGTAAAGACTCGCCAGCGGGAAACTCTTCCTTCTTGTATAGTCAAGCCGTCCATCGAGCATAAGCAGCCGCGTATTCAAGGTATTCAGCAACAGCCTAAGAGTTGAAGGCAGAAAAACCGACAAAACAATAACCACATCTTCTCCGAGCACCTCTGGAACCAAGGCCGTCATGGCCCCCACACGCTCCAAGGCAAGGGATCTGGAAGTTGTGTCCGTAAGGCGCTAACAAAGTGGCTTGTCCAGGTCAAGTCTGGCCAGGGCTCAACGCCCAAGGAGAAGCTGAAGGATAGAGGTGCGCTAAGTGGCACGCAATCTGCAAGACATGCAATCGCTCACGCGTTCCCTTGAGCCCCCACAGCTGAGCATGCGCGGCACGCCTGCAACCTGGGGGCCAAAAGCCAAGCAGAACAGACCATGCGCATGCGCATGCGATTCGGGTGCATCTTTCAAGTGGCTGTGCGTCCTTAGGCCCTTGGGGGCAAGACCCAAGGTCACGAGCGTTCAATATTAGTCAAGGAACTCAGCCTCGAACCACTTCAAGGAACTCGGCCTCGTCTAACCACTTAATGGTCAAACGTGGCACTTCAGCTGGCAGGGCAGTGTGGATGGAAGAATTATCGAACTGCTCGTTCATTGCCTTGAGATTCCGCCATCCTCCTTGTAGTCGCCGCTGCCTATTAACCTAGAAAAAACAAGAAACTAACTGACGTGACCAGTAGGAACCAATCTTGCGGCTTCCCACCATATCCTGGCACGGCAGCTGTCAGCGCATGTTTGTGCATGCACTCACTCGGACTTACAAAGCATTGCAGGAAGCTGCCTTGAAGCCCCACGTGCAATACATGATCTCACAGAATGCAAGCTTGCTGCCCGACCCGAGGCAAATATCTCTGGCAGATTTGACACTCAGTCGGGAGAGAATAACGCAGCATCACACCACAGGGAGCCAAGAAGACTGCGCCGGGCTGATTCATGGTGGCAAGTGTTTCTCCATTCTCAGCTGCACCATTCTTAGGTGGCCATGGTTCAAAACCAATGGTACCACTTTGGGATAGGTGCACAGTCTATTTTAGCGGGGATTGGGATGTTCACTGGGGGTACTCGGTTTGACCCATGGCCAGGTGGCAATACAATCCATCACATTGGCATCACACGAGTCGAGTGAAAGCTCAAGGCCGGGCCTGCCAAAAACACCCTCGCTGCGCTTGACACGGCCACGCTCCCGCAAATCCTTGCAAGTAACTGGCCACGGTGGCAAGGGGGGGGGAGCGAAACAAGGAAATGAAGGACCTCACGGTGAGAGGGTTGAACTGGGCCTCAATGGGCCCAAACACCCTAAGCCAGGGTGCGCATGAATGCCGGTCCCTTGCCTCAAAATGTTCATGACTGTCTGATTTGTTTGCTTCAACCCAGCTCCTCCAAATGCTGCTCCACCAAATCTTGAGCCATCCTTAGAGAGGGGGGCAAATTCGATGGTCGCTGATGGCTGCAGTGCCTAGGCAGAGTTATCTGTCTGATGCTACGTCTGCATACTTGATGCCGCTGACTGCAGCGGGACTGTGACTGCAAAGGACACATGGATTCATGTCCACACATAGTCTTCCCAAAGCTTTCCGATTGTCACATGCCTCAGCACAAAGATTCAATCAACAGCTTGAATTCTAGATGTGAGAAAGCTAGGGGTCAGAAAGCTCAACCCCTTCCCAGCCAGCTGTGTCCTCATCCCCCCAACTTGGTCGCCCACAAAGCTGCAGCACCACTTCCATAGAGCATGCTGCACAAGTCTCCGGCCGTGCCTGGTGAAACTTGCGACAGGCGATGCCCCCTGGAGGGCCAAAGTTTTTTTCGGCCAAGTTCATTCCCGGCCTGCAGCGTTCGCAGAATGGCCTGGCTCCAGATCTGCCTACATCACCCGCCTCAACTGCGAGCTAAGCGGGCTGCTCGGCCTGAAGCCCTCAACGGGCAAACCCGAGAGGCTGTGATAGGCCAAAACTTGGAGAGTCTGGTCCCAACTCGCCGGCCCAGGCCAAGAGCCATTCCCTATGAAGCACTGTGCGGAACGGTACGGTATGCTGCCTTGCAAACCCATGAATCTTCAACGGTTCAGCTGTTTGTTTTCAAAACCGCACTGGCCGCGTGTTGGGCGTGATCACTAGTGGCAATGGGCAACAGGAGGTGTTGGCCGCCAAGCAA